AAAAAAAAAAAATCAAAATTTTTTTAAGTGCTATTTTTTAAACTAATGAAAAATTAACTGGAAGCACAACAGCCGAACGTTTACCTTCCCCCACACAAAAAGAACATTCTGGAGTGATGTCCTCATTATGTGGAAGAGTCTGTGGATTTGAAGCAGCCTTTGTCCTAGTCTAGCATGTTATTTAGGAAAATGATATGTATAAAATGAAGGCTTTGAGCTATTAAGTTACAACCCAGGAAGAGGAATCAGTGTAGTCTGTCCTTGGCAAGGCAGTTCAGTGTATCACTCCAGCCAAAACAGACTCTGAAGTGCTGACCAAGGGGCATAAAAGAGAACACCTGTCCCTGCCCCTGCATGAAAATGCAGACTGCGTCTGCATCTTCAGGGATGCCGGCCTTCACCGGACACCGTCAGGTACCTGAATGCACGGGGAGTGAAGGGATCCCTCACATTGCCTCACAAAACCAGTTCAGCTGATACGGTCATGGGGCATATGTCAAGGGGCTGTGGTCCATTTTTTTTTATTAAAGGTCCAGTCAGCAGCTACTTAGCAGGAACCCAACTATTAAGCTTAGCAAAATTCCCTAAAACTAAAGGCCAGTATTTACCAAGTAACTTGCCCTTCTTCCAAGAGGTGGGTACATACCTCCTAGATGTACTGCAGATTCAAGGCCATATCCCCTCCCTACACTTACGAGCATGAATGCGACAGGAGAGGACAAGAAAGGGGAGCTAGGACCATGAACAGTCTCACAGTCAAATAAGCATAGGGGACTGGGTTGGGCCTGTTTGGGACTGTTTGGGCCTGACCTGAACTTGGGCCTGAAGCCTTCCCCCTACTCCCACCTCAACACACACACACACACACAGGGAGGAACAATGCACGAAGACACTGAGATACCCAAACATCAAAAGGTGCTGGTGCACAAGCACCCACGCCATTTTCTGGAAAGCAATTGCCCTGGGGAGGAAGAGGGAAGGGAGTGCATTCTTGGACAACACGCCTTTCAGTGAGCTTGTATTTCTTTAAAAAAGAATTGAAGCAACTCTGCCAAAATGTTAACTTTAGTTGGATTTTGGGTATGTGGATTTTTTTTCTCTGTACTATGCATGTTAGAAATTGCTAATTACAATTTTTAAAATTTTTATTAACGTTTATTTTTGAGACAGAGACAGAGTGTGAGTGGGGAAGGGGCAGAGAGAGAGGGAGACACAGCATCTGAAGCAGGCTCCAGGCTCTGAGCTGTCAGCACAGAGCCCGACGCGGGGCTCAAACCCATAAACCGTGAGCTCATGACCTGAGCTGAAGTTGGACGCCCAACCGAGTGAGCCACCCAGGCGCCCGCCAATTATAATTTTTATTAAAATTATTAACTAAGAGCTTTCCTTTGGCAAGCCTACGACAGTGGTTTTGGTATCAGTGTAGGGAAATGCTATCAGACCATTAGAGTCTTTTCCAAATGGAACCCTGTACAGAGGCCTGCATTCCCCACACACAGACATGCACTGAGGAGGGCTGGTCAGTCTGCCTGCCAAGCCGTTCTGGTGATGTGCTTCCTGCTTTTGTGGGTGGCTGAGCTAGAAAAGGTGCAAGATCTGAACAATCTCTGGATCTGTCTCGGGCACAGAAATGCAGTTTGACAGAATCTATGGTGTCCCTCTTGGTCACCAGTTACTTAGAATACTACTTAAAATTTAACTGCACTGAATGAAAATCTTACAATCCTAGGATAAGTCTAGACCCAGACCCTTGGCACTAATCAGCACCCCGAGCCCATGAAGCCTTTGTTTTAGAACCAGTAAGAGGATGAGCTACTTTTTGCACTGGGGATAGTCTGAGCAGGGGCGCAGCACAGATTTCAAGAAGCAAAGAGCCCTCCTTAGACTTTCTGAGTATGCCTCATCATAGGTTCCCTCCTACAAAATATCCCCTGGTGCAAACTTCAGGACGGTGAATCTGAGCCAGTGTGGCAGGGCAGAGACTAAGAGCACATCCGGCCTGTCTTACCCTCCGTGTTTAGCTTCGGTCCTCCTAAAGGAGGAAATGTTCTGAATGCTCCAGGAAACGTAATGGACAGGGTTGATAAGCCAGCTGTTCTCAGTGGCTGAGGAAGAGCAAATGAGCTATTTTATAGAACAGCTGTGGTCCAGGAGACTAGATGATTTGACATTAATTGATATCAGTATAGCTGGCTGGCCACACCAGGCACGGGGCCAGGAGGCTCCTTGTGCCCAACCTGGCCACAGACCCCCAGGAGACACCTCCTATACCAAAGAGACATAGTTACGAAGTGGGATTAACTATGAAACACAACTCTCTTCAGATCTATCCCTGAAGGCAGTATGTTTATCTAGGATTCAGCCATCTATTTGATGGTATGTGGTCCTCTATATTATCAGTTAATTTAGAGGGAGGACCGATTAAGCAGAAGTGAATTTAACTGTACTGACTCACTTGCTCCCATGTCTCTTGGGCCTGATGCATTCAGTAATGTATTTCTTTCCCACCATTAACCATGGTTTGGGTTTGTCTTTTAGCTATAGAAATGCTATTAGCTAGCGAAGCAGAGCACGTGAAAGAAAATGCATTTGAATTCAATAACTAGGAAAGATACTCCCCTCGTGATGCATAATTTCAGGAATATTTTTGATGTCAGATTGAAGAATAAAGAGCAAGATAAGACTAGGTTAATGGAGCAAAGGATACAGTATATTCAAATAGACTACATAAAAGCTGGGAGCTTACTGAATGCTGTCCATGGACTATAAAAATGAGCTATCACCTCAGCTGAGAATTTGCAATATGGAATCTCTTACATATTCATTTCAGATACTTCCTGCTTCAGTGGAAGCCAATGAATGTCATATATTCATTAACCATCCTATTCAATAAGAGAACAATTCCGGTGTGCTTTGAGAAGTAATTAACCCTTGGCTGGGCAAGATACTCCCAGTATGTCTGTTACCTTTGTGTATCCGGACGGCATGCTGAGGCTGCACATCCCATAGTGCCTAAGTTGGCATCTATGGGGTTAAGAAGACCGCAATTCAGGGGCGCCGGGGTGGCTCAGTCTGTTAAGCATCTGACTTCAGCTCAGGTCATGATCTCACAGTTCATGGGTTCAAGCCCTGCATTGGGCTCTGCGCTGACAGTACAGAGCCTGTTTGGGAAACTCTCTCTTTCCCCCTCTCTCTGTCTCTCCCCTGCTTGCACATGCACTCTCTTTCTCTCAAAGTAATAAATAAACAAACTTCAGGGCGCCTGGGTGATTCAGTCGGTTAAGCGTCCGACTCTTGATTTCGGCTCAGGTCATGATCTCGCAGTTCGTGAGATCAGGCTCCACACAGCAGATTCTGCATGGATAGTGCGGAACCTGCTTGCGATTCTCTCTCTCTCTCTCTCTCTCTCCCTCTCTCTCTGCCCCCTCCCCTACTCCGTGCTCTCTTTTCTCTCAATATAAATAAACTTTTAAAAACAAATAAATACGGGGCGCCTGGGAGGCTCAGCTGGTTAAGCATCTGACTTCGGCTCAGGTCATGATCTCACGGTTCATGGGTTCGAGCCCCATGTGAGGCTCTGTGCTGACAGCTCAGAGCATGGAGCCTGCTTCAGCTTCTGTCTCTCTCTCTCTGTCTCTCTGCCCCTCCCCGGCCCACCCTCCCTCTCTCGTTCTCTCAAAAATAATTAAAAAAAATAAACTTTAAAAACATATATTTTAAAAAAGAGATTTTTATATTAAAAAAAAGAAGACACTGCAATTCAATCCTCTCTTACAGCAGCCTTTTCCTCAAATGTTACCCAGAAACATGCCAGGAAAGGGGCCAGCAGTAAGGTTTTCTTTGCTCCCACATAAACCAGAAGGGCTACATTGGAAATTTGTGCCTTTGTGCTGTTTGACATAATACAAAACTGGCCCTGGCTTTGGATCAAGTAGGACCAACTGAGTGACTCTAGGGACCTGAGCATGTGACCGATCTAACGAGGGACACTTGTGTGCCGGGAGGGACTTACTGTCATATTCCTGTAACAGTTCCACCGCCGTCAAGAGAACAGCCCTGTGTTCCGGGTCCCTGATATTTAACTCATCCAAATCTTCCTCCTCCAGGAGCTTAAAGGTGTCCAGGTCTTCATACCCATTGAACAGGAAAGTGGGCATGTGCTCCTGTGAGGGAAAGAAGCCAAGGGAGTCAGCAGGCCCTGTGATTCTGGACCCTCAAGCAGCCTCGAACCCCTAAACTCTTTCCACAGTCCGTTTCACGTAGCTGGAAGATTAGTAAGTATCGCTTGTAATCTGCTGTGTATCTTCCAGCTCTACAGCTGAGCAGGCGCGCAAGGCATTTCATTAATCAGGGGTCAAGGACATGTACCTCGCAGGCTGACATGGGCCCCACTGGCTTGCATTTTCACTGTGCCCCTGCTTTAGGGCCTCTAACGCTGCAGCGTGCACAGCCCAGGAGACTTCTTTCGTTTATAGGGCTGCTGAAATCCAACTCAGAAAGCGCTATGACTTCCTCAGGAGCAAGAGGGTTGTGCAGGGAGGAGACCGAATCTACTGCTGCGGCCCCGGTTCACTAGATCCTGAGAGGGACAGTGGGAGACGGGCCGTGGGCATAAATCCTCAGTCTGAGGAGCTGAGGGAGCAGGGCACGAGGGGTTTGTGTTTACAGCCCTTCCTGGTAGTAGCTCGGACCTCACGGCTCTCTGAAAGCTGTTCTTGGGGCTAATAGCAAGTTCTGACCCGGGACTTAGGCGGTCACCCACCGCAGAGGTCAATGGCAGCATTAGAATACCGGTACCTATTTCTGTAGAATAATGGCTACTCATCAAAGTAACGGGCTGCCCTTGTTGAATCACACAGATGACTCTTTCTCCTTCCCTGCATGTGCCCTTGCTTAATTTAGGAAAAGGAGAAGGCAGCAGGGAGCCAAATGTGACCAGAACAAGAAGAAACTGACTTTCAGGTTGATCCGATCAAGGAGATCCTCCACAGATTTGGGCTGGGGTGGTCTTCCTTTTCTCCTCCTCCTGGTGGGGCGCTTGGGCTTCTCTTCTTCCTCATTTAGCACATCTACATAGATGAACTTGAATGTGCCAACCTTGTTGTTCAACAGACCCATCCAGGTGCCCATGGGTGGCTTGCTGATTATGTCAATGATGTCTCCTTTCTGTGGCCCAGGGAACAAAGATCCTTCCATTAGGTACATCTCTAGGCATGAACCCTGCACCAATTAGATGTGTTAACCACACAGATGAGAAAATACAACGAAGGGCCAGACTCAGGGTTCCTTCCACAGGTCACTATACACGAGTGGGAGTTTGGCAGAGAGCCTGAGCTCTCCTGCCTCTGCTAGATTCCTTGCAGGCCTGAGGTCTCATACCCTCCAGCCCCCCCC